AAGAAAAAGGAGAGTGCTTATTTTGAAGGCTGATGAAATTATGCTCCATTGTTTTCCAATTTCTCTATCTAATAAATTGACTAAAATAGAATTAATTTTTCTAAAGATTTGATATTTTGTTTGAAAAAGGCTTTGAAATATTTCAACTTAAAGTCTCAATTGCAGAATGTTATTTTCATACAAATGAGAAAAGCACACATACTAAAGTATTTATCTAGATTTTTAAATCTTGATGTTCAGGAGTACATGAAAATAGATTTACATAAAAATCATATTTGTTTATGACATAGAGTACAAAATGGTAGTACAGTTTGACAAATAAAATCTTGGAAAGAAATTTTTAAATAGGTAAGGGCAATAGGAAAAATGATAATAACACCTTCCATTAGCCAGTGATTATTTATGGACTTTTAAGCATATTGTAGGTGCTGTGGTACTACCTCTCTTCAAACAGTTTATTTGATAGTGGGGAAGACAAATTGTACATAAACAGCACGAATATGATAAGATGAATACTTACAGAGACATACGAAAGTTCAAGGGGAATACTAAGCGGAGAAAAATTGACTGAGATGAGGCCATGGCTGACAAAGTTTTCTAAAGGACTTTAGCAGAAACTATCAGGCATTAGCCAAACATATAAGCAGCAAGTGAGGACGGGCATTCTAATCGGAGAGACTGGTCATGTGGGCACAAAGGAATGAAAAAAGATGAACTTTATGAGAAAGCCAAACAGTGAAAAACAGTGAGCGTCAGAAAACTGAGTTTGGAAAAATGTGCAAGAGTAGGATAGAGAAGGCTAAAAAATCTGTACTTTTGTTTCTCATCTAAAAAGAGTCATGATGTATATATCAAAACAACAAGGCAGCATGAAGGAAAATAGTTTCCAGCTATTCTTGAATGAGGATTTTCAGAAGCATAGAATGAAACAGGTTCCCCGAGACAGAATAGGGTCTCATTAGGTCCCATTATCTTTGTTGAGAAAAAAAGGAAATCCTTGCTACTCAAAAGAGATCAGTACAAGAGGCCTAGGAAACAATGCAGGGTTTCTGCAAGTGTGTTGTGGGTAACATATGATGGTGCCCAGAGTGGCAGGAAAAGGCAGTAAGAGAACTAGCATCCGGTGAGCATCCAACACACGTCAGGAAATATCTTTAAGTAACACGATCTTATGTAGTTTTCACAACAACCCTATGAAGTGTGCACTACTATCTCAAAGTCACATATGGTTAAATTAAGTTCCAGAGAAGTGAACTTGCCCAAGATGATACCACTGGTAGAGGCAGAGACAGGATCTGAAGCCCTACCTGTCTGATACCACCTCTTAACACTCTTTTTGTAGAATCTCCTACCTCAAAGTAGAATCTCTGCAACCCACCATTGCCAAATCTTACTGCCTTGCAGGGAGAAGGCTTTGGGACATGACCCTGAGCTAACTCTGGTTTTATGGGGAAGGTGTGGTACAGTCAGAAATCAGGTCAATACATCTCTGTGAAGCTAGGATGGGTCAATCTTTCAAAGAGGTCACAGTTCAAGACAAAAAGGAGTAGATGCCAGAGATATTTTGTAAGCAGAACTGAGAGGATTTGGTAACCCAGCTGATATATGAAATGAAGGAAAGCTGGGCATTAAGAAATGAATCTTCTGGCTTGAGAGAGTAGATAAAAGAAGGTAACTTCAACCAACATATAGAATATGGGAGGAGGTATAAACTCCATGATTAGAAGTTTAAATTTGACCTGAAAAAAAAGAGACATACTTCAGTAATTATTCAAATAAATTCAAGAGAGAAAAACCAGAGATTTTACAACAGCACATTTCATACATCTCCTGGTAGTTAATTTATTGCAAGCCCGAGCAAATGAACACTATAGTGGACTATAAAATTCATTATCAGTCAGGTCCAGAGAACTCTGAGGGTTATTATCTGGGATCATTTAAAGATATCAAATGCAATTTTAGGATCTGAAGCAGACATTACTTTTCAGGTAAGAGATATGTAAATGACACTGCAAAGTTAATCGATTAAGGGTATTGTCTGAAAAGTTGTTAGGGCAAATAAGACATTTGAAGAGTAGAAAAACAGATTTACCACCATGGCACATTTTTATGTGCTTTAGCTATTGCACAATTTGAAAGGATTTGGCACAATATTACTTCTTATGATCGCCATCATCAAGTCTGAACATCATGTTTGACTATGGGAGGAAAGATGAAATGAATTCCTAAGTATAAACATTCAGGATGTAGGGAAGGAAGTTTGAGAGATGAAGAGTTCAAACAAAAACAAAAATGACTTTCCCTTTATTAGTTTTTAGAGCTTCCATTCTTAAAGAATTAACTTGAGTTGAAAATAGGTAGAATTATTTCTTTGAATCAATACGATATTTTTGGCTCTCTGTATTCAAAAGGAATGCCAAGAATGTATTTCGTTAACAAAGAATGCATTTATGGAAGAACATCTAGCACACTGATGATCATGTGTAGCTATTAGTCTGATTCCCATGGATTCCCAGCCTGTTTCTACTGATGGATTCATACTATGGTTATGAATTCATTCATTCACAAGTATTGTGATAGGCAGCATTGTAGGTATGGATCTGTGAATAAAACTGGACAAGTCCTTTCCTAACAGGGGAGACAGACAATAAATAAACACATACGTAGAAATGTAATTTCCAAGACAGCTTTGAGCTATGAAGAGTAACAAGTAAAAAGGCCTGTTTTACATAGATGAGTGAGCTTAAAATAATGGCCAGGGATCTGATCATATAGCATTTTACAGGACATGATAAAGTATATATATTACAGTAGAATCAATAGGACTTTTGCTGATGGACTAGATGAGGATGAGAAGGAAAAGGAGGGGTCAAGAATGACATCCATATTTTTGACTTAAGCAACCAAGGGTTTAGTAGCACTATAAGAAAAATAGGGAAAATTTGGGGAGAAACAAATTAGGTAGACTGAGAGGTTGATCTGGTCATCTGGAGATGTAGGTTGGACACACAAAGATGGTGTAGAGTCATGTGATAGCTAAGTCTAGAGGTCATGGGAAATTCAGGACTGGGACTATAATCGGAAAACACTGAAAAATTTTTCAGCCATGGGAACAGTTGAGACAATATGAATGTGGATAAAGAAGGGAAGAGGGCTGAGATTCCTAGAGCATTCCACCATCTGGAAAATAGACTGCATGGCAAGAGGCTTTTGCAGCAGAACACCTCTGCTCTCTCTGTTACTTCTCTGAAACTCAAACTGGCACTCCACTACAGCTTATAAATTGTTGATACTCTCTATCATAACTGTGAATCAATGCACTGGGAAAATAAAAGCCTTTTAAAAAGAATAGTAAGGAGAATGGGGACCACCAGGATTTCTAAGTCTAATATATAGAATTACAAATTAGTACAAACTTAAAAGTATTTATGGGGAGTCTGGATGACTCAGTTGTTTAAGCATCTGACTTTGGCTCAGGTCATGATCTCGTTGTTCGTGAGTTCGAGCCCCGTATCCAGCTCTGCGGTGACACCTCAGAGCCTGGAGCCTGCTTCAGATTCTGTGTCTCCCTCTCTGCCCCTCCCCCACTCAGGCTCTGTCTGTCTCTCTCTCTCTCATTAAAAAAATTTTAAACTTAACAGAAACCCATGGGGGAGGGGAAGGAAAAAAAAAAAGAGGTTAGAGTGGGAGAGAGCCAAAGCATAAGAGACTCTTAAAAATTGAGAACATACTGAGGGCTGATGGGGGGTGGGAGGGAGGGGAGGGTGGGTGATGGGTATTGAGGAGGGCACCTTTTGGGATGAGCACTGGTGTTGTATGAAAACCAATTTGACAATAAATTTCATATATTGAAAAAAAAATAAAAAAAATTTAAACTTAGAAGTATTTTTCACAGATGGTAACATTTTGGGTATCCATTTCACACACACACACGAAATAGTTCATTTATTAAACAACTACTTCTAGCTTTGGAACTGTAGCTGACATGATACAGTATGCCAGACTGTCTCCTAATAACTATTAAAATTCATATACATGGCAACAGAGTTATCTTATGATTACATTACTATCCTAAATAATAATATGCATTTCTATAAAACTTGATGTTTTATGAAACATTTTTTTGATGAACTCAGACAACTGTATGAGGTTTGGAAAGTAAATATTATTATCATTGTTTTGCTAATAAGCACACTGTGATTCAGAGAGGTTGACTGATTTGAAGAATGTCATCCAGGTAGGAGTATATAACCTGAACAAGGAAGTTATGGCTCTTAATCCTTTGCTCTTCCCAGGATCCCACCATTTATTATGTAGTTTGATTTCTTATTTACACTTAGAATCAGAGGCATGTATAAGGATTGTGCAGATTGTGTCCTGCATGGGTAATCTATGAATGGCCCCTTCACACTGGGCAGTAAGCAGCCTGAACAAGATAAGCAATGACTGTGATTAAAATGATACTTTACTTTGACTATTATGTCAAATAGCCTCAGAAACATGGAGAGATAAGAGCTAAAAATGATTTGTCATTCTATTAGAGATAATTATAATCCCTCCAAATAATAAAAATGAAAAATTGAATTTTCCAAGTCTTGATGATTATTAAAATTCTTTGCTAAATCTGAAATTTTGCAGGTTTTCTTTCAGTATAGTATTTAATGTCCATTTTTCATTTTCTAGAAGCATTTCTCTTAATTCACTTTTTCTTTGATTCATGTTCACTTATTCAAGTGTTTTGTTAGCAACATTTCTAAGTTTCTACCTTATCTTCTTCCAGCAGGTTCTTAGACCTATTCTCCCCTCCCCTTTAAACACTTCTGGCCACTAGTGAACCAATTAGTCAAATGGTGGTGGCTTTTTCTGGAAACAGTACTCACGACTCATCCCCCCACTGCCACTTCTGCTTTTAGTTCCCTTGATTTGCCACATTGTTTTCTTCATATTTTCCCTAACTTACAACTTATTTTTCTTCATGATTTGAATCTGAGAATGCTCACCATATTGTGATAGATCAAATGATCGGTTTTCATCACCACTCTGCCTCCTCAAGTTCCTGTTCTTGTGAGAAGTCCGCCAAAGGCTCACAGTCTACTTTAATCTCACTGGCTCTTCTTAGCTCATCCTTAAAAAAAAGAAAGAAAAAAAGAAACAAATGATTTCTTTTTTATTCTCTTGAAACTTTTTCAGCCAAAATACACGCTGACTTTGATGTACTGATGCAGCTGTAGCTCTTCCTCTGCTACCGATAGCCACTTTTTTCAAGTTTATTTATTTTGAGAGAGAGAGAAAGAGCAAGCAGGGGAGGGGCAGAGAGAGAGGGACAGAGAGAATCACAAGCAGGTCCTGTGCTGTCAGTGGGGAGTCTCGATTTCAGGAACCAGGAGATCATTAAGTGAGCTGAAACCGAGACTGAAACTCAAACAAATGAGCCACCCAGGTGCTCCCCCATAGCCACTTTTAAGTGAAACAGGTTTAGAAGTCAAAGAAGAAGAAAAGATATGTGTGTGTGTGTGTGTGTGTGTGTGTATGAATATAAACTGTAATAGCTGTGCTATGAAATGCATACTAACTAAATAAGGATATTTGGCTAGTTCTTTTTGTAATTAACATTTATCAATATCTACCAGACAATTAGAGAATCAATTAGAGAATTGCGAGCAAGTTTCATTATGACACTCGGGAGAATGGTCATATGACAATATGAAATATTTATTCTACAATATTATGACAAAATTTATTCTACCTGGGGAGCAAAACTAGTGCTTACCAATAACTTAAAGGCAATCACAAATATTTTGAGATTTGAGGGGTTATGTGAAAGCCCTTTTCTAGTAGGCATGGGACATCAAATTGTTAACATTTAATATGGAATAAGTTAGTAGCATACTACATGTCATTCTTTGTGGGACTAAGGGTAGAATACCATAAGATTGCTGGCTATGTCAGCTGGGGTCAACATCTCATGGGAAAAAAAAGAAACTAATAATTTTGGTCTTTCCTAATTCATAGAGTTGATAAGAGAATCAAAGAAAATAATGTACTTGTACATACTTTGGAAGATATAAGGATTGTATAAATGTAACTTATTTTAAGCCTTTGGGTTACTCATTGGCAATCTTTCTACTGCTTGTCTAGATCAGTCAGGAAATCAATGGACATCACTTTCAGTTAAAAAATTAATTGTTTTGCTTGACATGTTCCATGAGTACATGGACTTTTGACTTGGTCATATTTAGCATCATTAAAAATAAATTTAAAATTTGATTAACTGGAGTTAGTATTCACATGGTCATGCAAAACTTACAAAACATAAATACTACTGCTAGTCAAATCTGTAAGACTTAGCCACTTCATTTTTGGTTTGTTCCATTGCCTTCAAGATAGAAAACTAGTAACATTAATAGGAACAAATTTATAATATTGATTTTAACCAAGTGTACCAGTATCAACTCTCAAACTCATTACTTAAAATTTACCTCTTAAATTTAAAGAATGTAAAAATACAACCCATCATTTTATGAAGTGCTATTAAATAATTATTCTTAAACAACATATTATTATATTCCCAAGTATCTAATTGCATCTTTGATGGTATGTGACCATCTTATTACATATTTCTCTTAGAGACGGGCAGTAAGCAATGCATCCAATTCTCTGCATACAAGTATAAATCATGGTAAAGTGGTTCATAATTCTAGGAAACCAATGTTATTGAAATATTTACTCATGTCTATCTATTTTACTTTTGTCTATCAGATTCTAAGATTTAGACTTGCTCATAATTACTACTTCCCAAAGTTGGGTTGAAGTATTTCTACTGCTCAAAAACAAATTAAAATATCCATATAGAAATGTAAAAAAGCAGAATGTTAAAGTTAAAAATTAAAATTATCACACACACACAACTATAATTATCAGTGCAAAATACTTGAAAAGAGGTCCAGTAAGTTTGAATTAAAATTTTCACATTCAATATTAAATTTTTCCTAAATTTACTAAAGTCTGTAGTTTGTTAATATTAAGCATAGATTTTGATTGAAATACTAATTAATATTAAATCTCATTTTAGGGAATTTATAAAATACAAAAACATTTAACTTCATATTAGCTAATATTCTTTTATTATCTTATATACATTAAAACTTTATGATCTTAAATGTTGGCATGATGGAGATACTGGTCAATATGAAGTTTTTTTAATTAATAAATAAGTTAATTTTCCAGTTTTATTTCTTTATACAACTTACCAAACCCAGCATAAATGGGTTGGGGGGAGGGGAAATCAGAAGATATTTTGAAAAGAAAGAGCACTATAATGGTGATGTCAAAGAAAAAAAAGAAGAGAAAAAATAATAACAAAGAGCCTAGTTAAAATTAGGTAATTTACTAAAATACTAGCATTCTTCTATGAATTTAAATAATCCAAACTCACAAACCAGATAAAAAAAAAAAACTGTCCTATAAAAATAAGCCAAAAACTAAAACAATTGACACAATGAAGTAAAAATATTCAAGAGCTGAGAATAAAATCTAATCATCTTATGCCAATTGGATTAGCAATTAAAATACTTATATGTACATCAGGTTGTGGAGAAGTGAACACAACCATACAAATTTACAGTGACAGTTGGTAAAATTCTTTTCAAAAGAACCTTGGCCGTAAGCAACATGTCCCAAAAATGTTTATAACATCTGACTAGTAATCCCATTGCTGGAATTTATTATGCAGATATAATTTAAATGAAGTAAAATAGTACATGTATAAGACAACTCATTGAACTGTTTATAACAGTGAAAAACTCCAAGTAAACTCTCTTTGTTGCTCTATGGGTAACAAGAAGTTAAAGGATATTTTTCCTGCTCCCTAGAATTTTAGGCCAAAGCTGAAGACAGAAAGGCAACAAGAACCAATATATAACTTTATAAATTTAGCAATAAGTTTCTATAAATTTCAATAAGTTGTTGACGCTAGTCAAACTCCTGCAGTGCATACAGAGAGGATTCTAAAGGTACCTTATGCCACAGACTGAATGTTTATGTCTCCCACAAATTCATTATGTTGACACCTAATCCACAATGTGATACTATTAAGAGGTGGACCTTTGGGAAGCCACTAGGTGACCAGGGTAAAACCCTCATGAATGGGATCACTAATCCCTTAAAAAGGAGGGCCCAGAGAGCTCTCCCCTTCCTCCCCTGGGAGGATTAGAAGAGAGGAGACAGCCATCCATAAACCAGGAAACAAACACACTAGCACCACATCTGTGAATACTTTGATCTGAGACTTCCTAGCTTCCAAGAACTGTGAGAAATAAATTTCTGTTGTTTGTAAGCCATCCAGTCTATGGTACTTTGTTATAGCATCCTGAACTAAGACACCCCATTATGCTCTTCCCTCACATCTGGAGCTAAGATGGGACAGGTAAGGTTCCTAGTGATCAAAATTTAAGGAGGTACATACACAGCCCTGAGAGTAAATGCCTACTTAAATACTTTGCTTTAGACTCCTTTCCTGATTGGATTGGTTTAGCCTAGCGGCTCGATGGTATGTCTGTGTGATACATAAACAGGGGAAAGCATAGTTCGAGAGAGGCAGGGATAGGGAATAGGGGGCTGAAGAAAGGGTGGTGGTAGAGGAGTCTAAAAGCCACTATTCGGCACGCGAGGATTGCAGGTCTCCTGTGCATCAAGTAGAGGTCTGGGATGACATTTAGGTCTAATCTGTCATCTTCCACCATTCCTCCTGTTCTGCAGATTCTTCTGCTTCTGGAGTTACCTTATTCTGTGAGCAGCCTTCCTGGTGTGGTTCTGGCAGAATGTCGCAAATACAGAATCTTCCAGATTTTCTCTCGACACATAAAACATATGCAACCTTGCTATGCTAAACAGAGGGTTTGACTCTTTACTATCACCTTGCCTTCAGTCCCATTGCCTTGGACATGGATTATTTTTAGAGTTCTGTAGACTCTGTATCAATTGTTATCAGTACTGTCAATATTTGGGGGAAAAATCTGAAGATTTGTGTCTTACATATGCACGTACTTAGTACAGCTCTTTCTAGTTTCTCTCATTCATTCAGAGGGTTGTTTTACATCTACGCTAAGGTGTCTCTGGTGAGAGCTCTTCAAACACGAAGCAATAAATATGTGCAGAATTCTCAGAGTTTTACTGCATTTGTATAATTCTTTAGAGCAACCAAAAATAAATCACAAGAACTCTTGTTTTCCTTCCTGATAATGGTGTCTCTTTGAGACCCTACAAAAGCAGCATGACATTCTGGAGGTTATCAGACAGTTTTCACGGAATATGTACTTGTCAATTAAACTTCTGACAAAGAATATCTTTCTACTAACTCTCTCGAATTTGACAGAGCTGTGCTTTATACAGCATGGCTTCATCAGCAACATGAGCGATAGTACCGAGGCGACATCTGCAAAATCAATGAATGATGAAAAATTTGACGCATATTTTAAAATATCTTAGTAATCTTATCCTTTGTCTTCCTTAACTTTTTAGATTAAAACTTCCTTAAAAAAAACCAAAAACTTCCTTTATGTTACTTGGAGTAGAGGCATCTGAAAGCTTGCCAGAAGCAGAGGTCAAGTCACATTCCAGCTGTGCATCTCATTTATAAAATGTAACAATTAGCAGGATGTCAAAAGCATTGCTTATTTATAAAACTTAACAGTTTGCATGATGCCAAAACCATTGCTTAGTTCATATACAGAAAGATAATAAAAAGCCAGAGCTCTCAGCAATTCAACAAGTGTACCACTCCCAACTAATCTAAGAGAACAATAATGATGTAGCCTAAGACAATTCAAAAAGCTATGTTGAATGAAGGCATCTGGGTGGCTCAGTTGGTTGAGTGTCCAACTCTTGATTTCAGCTCAGGTCATGATCTCAGCCATGGGGCCTGTTTTAGATTCTCTCTCTCACTCAAATTAAAAAATAAATATAAACCATCTTATTAAAAAAAAAAAAAGCTATGTTGAACAAAGTTAATACCTCTTCTTTGATAGCATTCAGTTGCAGGGCTACCAAATCAGCAAAACTGATACTTTTCTGTACATTGGGAAATGTAAGAATTAGCATTTAGTTTCATTTGTGTCTCTGTGAACA